ATAATATTAAAAAAAAATAATATCAATTAATCTGCCCTGCCTTCCATATCTATTTATTCCCTTCCTTTATATATTTTTATCAAATATATAAATAAGGAAGGAACAAATAATCAAATTTAGCAATAAAAAAGAAATCAAGAAAATTTATATATTAATATTTTAAAATTTATATAAATACAAAACAATATATAGAAAAGATCAAAATATATAGCCGAATCAAATTCATTTATTGCAAACAAATGAAATACGATAAGATAATATTAAATATATAAAATATAGGAGAAACTAGTTGACTTCTGTAAAATACTGCAAATATATGAAAATAACGGCTAAGTGCAGCCCAACATAAGCAATTCCAAGCCCAATGGCTTCGCGCTAAAAATACGTAATTTTTGGCGCGAAGAGAAATGCCAAACAATTGGCCCCACATAGGTCCAATATGGCCCTCATATTGGAACCGCCTGGAACCTATACGACCCTATAAGAACCGTCCTGGATTCTCCTGGATGTGCTCTGCCCCGAGTACCTGAAATGCATAGCTGCACTGATGTATAACTACCCACCCCTTTCATACAATACATTCACATGCTCTGGGGACCTCTGGGGTGTGCTGGCATGCGTTGAGTTCTCCCTACTACTGGATGCTAGTGGAACATATTGGAACCACCTGGAACCTATACGACCCTAAAAGAACCGTCCTGGATTCTCCTGGATGTGCCCTGCCCCCGGTACCTGAAACGCATGGCTGCACTGATGTGTGGCTACCCGCGCCTTCCATACAATACATTCACATGCTCTGGGGACCTCCTGGGTGTACCTGAAATCCATAGCTGCACTGATGTGCAGTTACCCTTCTCTTTCATACAATACATTCACATGCTCTGGGGGCCTCCCTACTGGATACTATTGGAACACATTGGAGCATATTGGAACCACCTGGAACCTATACGACCCTAAAAGAACCGTCCTGGATTCTCCTGGATGTGCTCTGCCCCCAGAGCCTGAAATGCATAGCTGCACTGATGTGCAGCTACCCCCCCTTTCATACAATACATTCACATGCTCTGGGGACCTCTGGGTTGTGCTGGCATGCGTTGGCATTCTCCCTACTACTGGATACTACTGGAACATATTGGAACCACCTGGAGCCTATACGACCCTATAAGAACTGTCCTGGACCCCCAGTACCTGAAATGCATAGCTGCACTGATGTGCAGCTACCGCCCCGCTTTCATACAATACATTCACATGCTCTGGGGACCTCTGGGGTGTACCTGAAATGCATAGGTGCACTGATGTGCAGCTAATCCCCCCCCCTTCATACAATACATTCACATGGCATTCTCCCCACTGATGGATACTTTTGGAACACATTGGAACACATTGGAACATATTGGAACCACCTGGAACCTATACGACCCTATAAGAACCGTCCTGGATTCTCCTGGATGTGCTCCGCCCCGAGTACCTGAAATGCATAGCTGCACTGATGTGCAGCTACCGCCCCCCCTTCGTACAATGCATTCACATGCTCTGGGGACCTCTGGGGTGTGTTGGCATGCATAGCTGCACTGATGTGCAGCTACCCCCCCTTTCATACAATGCATTCACATGCTCTGGGGACCTCTGGGGTGTGCTGGCATGCGTTGGCATTCTCCCTACTACTGGATACTATTGGAACACATTGGAACATATTGGAACTACCTGGAACCTATACGACCCTATAAGAACCGTCCTGGATTCTCTTGGATGTGCTCTGCCCCCTGTACCAGTCGGAGGATAATGAGGACTATGGGCTGGTGAAGAAAAGTGAATCTCTGCAGTTCTTTTCGGCAAGGTCAGTACCCTGTGAGTAAGACTGTTGAAAGCATCTGACGCCATAAGACTTTGGATCTCAATGTTTGATAAAAAACAACAGTTGAAAGAGCTATACGGAATGGGCAGGGTTGGATTAGATCAACACACTTCAACCATCTTCAACCCAAGGCTCAACCTAAAAAACATCCTTTCGGTGCCGTACAATCCTTAAAAAATGTTGGAAAAAGGCACCCTAATAATAGATAAGAATCAGCAACAACTACTGCATACTATTGCATTTAGTACATGTAGGCTTCTCAAGACAACCTTCATGTATAATGAATGTGCGGCGTGGAACTGCTGCTAACCCCACAGGTGCATACATTCATGATACTTCATCTGCGCCCTCCTCCCCAATCTCAACTCCCCCCTTTCCAAATTTCGCATCCCCCCTCCAAATTTGGGAATTATTAATTAATGTATTAACCCATGGGGGTAGGTGGCCTCCCATAATTTGGCAAACTTAGATTTCAGGGGGGTGCTCAAAAGCGTCATGCTATTTCGTAAGATTCCCCAGGAAAACTCCATGAGCATCAAAGATCCATGGCCTTGCAAAATCAATGAATGTATGAAACCGCCTCCCCACCTTTTCTAAAGTTTAGAAGCCAAATACTGAAAATGTATGAGGAGCACTCCCCACCTCTTTAGGTAATCTCTTAATTTTACAAAAAAAGTTCATACAAAAATGTCCGTTTCAGAGGGAGGGGGGTGGAAATGTATGAAAAATTCCCTGCCTCCCCCCCTCTCCATATATTTTAAGGGGTGGGGGATCCAATTATATAGTTAAATAGGACAGGCAATCACAGCAAAAAAAGAACATAATAAAACAATATGTAGTAAAGTAGGAAAAACAAATCTGTTGAAAAAAATCTTACATACAGTAATAAAATCGCATGCTTATCTAGAATTCTTCCTCCATCTTCCTCCTACCTTGCTATCAAAAAAGGGCATATCTCAGGCATAATATATCGTGAGTGCCGCGCGAAATCGCGTGAGCGCCTTATGAGTCCAACATTTTGGGAAAAATCCGGATTTGATAAGTCGGATTTTCTGAAACCAATCAAGAATACATGTGAACTGTGGATTCCAAAAAAGCTGTAGAATACACATATATATTATATAAATTATATATAATTATATATAATTATATATATAATTGTATATACATAGATACATATTCATATATTTAAACATTTATCTTTTCGCCATCCTTTCTTCGTATGGCGAGCCAACCACTTTTCTGAACAGCAGCGGCCAATGAACTGCCAAGGTCTTCGGTTTGGCGTCTTAGAAGTACCAAGGTAATGAATGAAAATTGCGTTGAACATGAGCTGCTGGGTGGAATTTCCTCCGACTAATTTTCCAAGCTGAAGCTGATCGCTTGGGATTGTCTGCGGGTCAGCATGAAAGTGGTGGCTGACTCCTTGGGCATGCCATCTTTCACAAGTTCCTGCTGGCAAGTCATCACTGACGTGAAACTCATCACCCAAGATGGTGTTCAAAACATGTGGAAATAGACCATGAATTCCTTGGCGCATCAACTGCAATCTTTAGTCCGCCGGAATTTTCTAGAGGGCATGGTGGAACTAATGGAGACGCAAACCAGCAGAAAACCGCATCCATAATTCCCTTGTCCTCCCACAGGCGCTGTGCCAAGAACTCCGGGCTATCAGGCTGCGTCTGCTGCACTGCCGCTAGTACTAGGGGCATCAGCAGCGCTGCGCGACTGAGCAAAATGTTGTGATTTCCAAAGCCAATAGCAGCGAAAGCCAAACCTGGGATTTGCTCATACCGACCACAGGATGATATGGTCTCTGGACCGAGAAATTGATGGAAGGTGTTGCTGCATGGGGGAATCCAATCAGCCCCTTCCTGACACATCTCAGAGGCTGCAAAAGGCTTCCATCATTACAGCTAAGGAGCCCAGGAAGCAAACAACTTGGAGGTCATTTACCTGACGACGAAAAGGCTTCACGTACGCACAAATCCTCAATGGTAGAAAATAATCGCAAAATTGTGTCACCAACTTAGACTGTTTGCTAACATTGGAGCTGGCCTGTGGTTGCGCATAGGGCTGCACCATCCATACCGTGGCTGCAACCGCCAACGTGGCTGCCAGAACTTTGCCCATCGGGACAAGCAGGTTCTGAACCGCGGAAGGCATGGGACTACCGAGAGGTCTAAGAAAATCTTCGCAACAATTGAACGGCAAAAAGAACTAAAGAAGCATTTAACACCTTCAAACCAAGCAGTCCACATTCTTAAATGCAACTACAAAATGGCTATCTTGATACCAAGGATCATTCGTCGCAGTGCTGGAAGCAACGGCCTGTCACGGCATCCCATTTTCATTGGCAAAGATTCAAAAGTGTCCACCATCCCCAGGACAATCATAAACAATGTTGACTGCACGTTTCCAAAATGGGTCTGCCTGAACAATGGCCACTGTGACCAGCTTCAGCATCACTTCCATCCACAAATCGCGGCAGGTGGACTTGGCAATTGTCTCACCAGGCTTGGCTCTGATATGAATTGCAGATATCGATATGCCGTGTACACAATCAAAAACGTGAGTAAAAATGACAGCTAAGCCCTGCTGCTCATTATGAAGAGCCAAACTGCAGGAGTTCCTGGGGAGAGCCAAACAGAAGCCAAGTAACATATTTCATTAGGGTCTCCTTTGCGCCCAGCAAGAATCCTGGATTGGCAGCTCTGAGAACACTCATCATTTTTCAGGAACCGATTGTGCTCGCAGCGCTGCAAATCTGCTGGTACGAAAGGTTTTTCAATCTTTTCTCAAAACACTCGTATGTAGAACGGGGAAGATCCGACACTTCTTTGGAAAGTTGGGTGAACAAATCTTCTACATCATTTGCTGGAAAGTGAGAAATGCCAGTCAAGATGCTCTTGAAATCCCACATCCATTCCTTTTCAAATAATGTAACCCAGCCAAGCACGAGTTTGCAACATGGACAAATAGCAGTGCCGATGTTCAATGTTCAAATTGTCTCCTGATACCCTTGGACTTGTCAATGCATGGGGTTCTGATTTGATTACTTTTCAGACTTTTCGATCAGGAATCCCACGGAGGTCTCTCTGGAGATTTGCAAAGTCACCTTTAAAATTTACGGGATGCCCTGCCAAAATGGAGAACGAAAGGAGCCTCCCAAAACAGGATTGCATTGCCAAGTTTCGGTCATTTTCGTCCACCTGCTGCAAGGTGTAACCTGCAAGGCTTTCTGGATTGGCGCCGAAGAATGCTTTGTTCATAGGATTTCATAATTAGACTAGATCATATTGGCCACTTCCCTTCTATCAGAATGCTGTCCGTTGAATGTTCAGGGGTGATTCTTCGTGGCTAAGCAAAGAAAACACTCTGCCGGCATCCACTTTCCAGAGAAACTTGAACGAACCGACATCACCAAAGAAACAAACTCAACCTTTTCCAAAAGATCTGGCAACAATTAATTGTAGTTTGAAAGGCTACAGACAAGCTACATCAGGTCACAAATAGCAGATTCCGATCGATTCCGCAGGAATCCGAGTCACGCTCAAGCAGCATTTCAGTAATGGAATGATGCCGCAGCTTCTCTGATTCGATCTTGAACTGTGCGTTGGTGGCTTCAACCTTAGCTGCTTAGCCCCTGCCAAATTGCCAAAGGCGGCCCTTGAAGTTGTTGCTGTTGAGCATTGTCGCATTCCAACAAGCCATACTGAACTTTGACCCATTCACCATGGTTCCACAATGCTGTGAATTTGGGCACAACAGTTCCAACCACAAATACGTCAAAAGAGCATGAGAAAAGAATAAGAGCATGAATATAGAATCGTATGACATCAAGTTTGGCCGGTAGTATAGGAAGCACGCACTCCCACGCTCCATGTTTCGCTTGCTCTTTGGGATTTCCTGTTGCTTGCCAGACACGATGACTACATCTACAACTGCTTGTTGTCTATGGGTATAAAAGACCACGAAGCGATCCTTTTGAACCCATTTTCACCCTAGTTTTATTGCAACATATTGCACATCATTTGCAACTGGTACAGGCCCTTTGTCGTGGCACTATAGCTACTAGAGCTCCGTATCATGAACCAACAAAGGTCAACTTTCCACTGTGCAGCTGGGAAACGTTCAGCTCCATGGCTGTTCCATCAGCATTGTCGAAAAAGGCCACTGTCCTCAGTGGTCACAAGGCCCAGAATACGAAACTCACGCAGCCTGCATGTCCCAGGTATGCTGAAGTCCTGGTGCTTAAACTGGATTTGCCACATTGGAACAGCATGGAACATTACATTCAAGGCTTCATGGCAGTTCATGGCTCATGGTATGGCTTCAAAGTCATAGCAAGTATTTCAAACAGTATTTTTATGTATTTTGCATCTAAAGTTGTGCCCAAGCTGCCCCTTGCCATCTCGTAGTTTCACTCGCACGCTGCCTTGCTGCAACATGGCGACATACGCCACCAGGCCGGCCACCAAGCGGCGCTGCAAATCCTGGCACAGCAAGAGATTGGACATCTACATTTTTTTGAAACAGTAGTAGAAGTAATTAGTTAAATAAATACATAAACTAATGAATAAATAAATGAAATGAATATATCTATCGATATAATATTATGTAGTAGCATGGGTTGATAGTAAACACGTAGCTTCATGATGCTTCATGATTATTTATCGACCCAGCCGTATGTCTTGACCCGTGGGCTGACAAGCAACTGACAGAGGTGCTGACACTTGAGTCCCAAGGGTCCGTGAACAAAAGTCAAGCACGGGTCAGGTGGAAGAAGCTGCAAAAGCAACGGAGGCAAGTAATGGAAGCGAGATGCAATGGTGAAAATGCGGAAGGGGGTGGACGTGGAATTGAGTGGGATGGACTGGGTTTTGGTGAAGTTGAGCCGGATGGAGAGACATCGATGAAGCACATTGGTGTCATTGGGTGCAATGAGTTGGACGGCGTGTGCTGGCTAGATTTGCAAAATGCTACAAGTATGGTATATTATTATGATATGTTATCAATGGCCATCGGGATTGGGCAGCAATGGTTTCCGCAAAAAGCGCACTAGCAAAGCAAAGCGTTCCTAGCTAACTACCACAAACTTTAGCGAATTTTACTGACACATGTCGGATGTCTGACATCCAGCACAGTTCATCATTGGACTGCCAGAGGACGTAGAGAGTCCACTAGAAGGAATGGAGGAGGCTGACATGAGGAGAGAGGAGGAATGCATCTCTTAGGGTCTATTAAGACTTAGCCATTTTGATCATTTTGCATGATTTAGGGGTACTGTGTTTTGAACATCTATAACACCCTCAGCAGTCCCTCTGCACCTCCTGGCTCAGTGCCAGAGGTTCACTCTTGGAGTCGCTCAGCTCCAAAGGCATCCGGGTATAGCGCAGCACCAAATGCTGCCGAACGTAGAGGTAGAACAAGAAGCAAGGGATCCTGAAGCTGGGCATGTCACCGGCAGAAATCGATCGACCAAGCCGAAAAGCGCTTAGAAGTGAGGAATTCTCCTCTCAGGTTTTGACACCAGGCCGAGTTGGAGATATAAGCTATGCAGCAATGGCAGCAGTTTGACTGATGAAGAGCACGGATGAATGGAAGCAGAAACACTTGCGTGGCCAACCAAGGATCAGGATGGCATAACACACTGCACAGGGCCAAAACACTGCAGCCACTTCGCTTGGTACCTCACAAAGGGATGCAATGAAATGTCGGGACTTCAACTACAGGCATCACAGCGACAGGAAGTATTGACAATTTCCAAAGTTGACCCTGATCCGAGTGCTTGTGCCAGAAGCTCCTACAATGTAAGGTTCGAAGTCACTGCTGGCTCAGTGTGCTTTGCCCTGGTTGCTCCTATCATGTCCTATCCTGTCTCGGGTTTCAATTGATCCTTCCATGCATCCCATGCTGGGGTCCCCAACCATACTGTTGTGACTGCAGCCGAGGTCTGGCAAGTGCCGAAGGAAGTGATCTTGCAAGGCGTAACCACCTGCAGGGACAGAACATTGGAATCTCACGCCCCTGCATTCACACCAAGCAGAAATTCAGCAAGTGACTTGGCCACATCAGGCATCTCCTTGCTCAGTGTGACTCCAGGCACCTGCATCAACCCGTTGGCAGCTGATCAAGGCTGCACATGTGGAGGCTCCGCCAACAAAGAACAAGGTCAAGATCTTCAGGGCCGCATTGACTCCTGTTCAAAAACACATTGGCCAAAAGATGCCAAACGCCGTGTGAGACCCAAGTGCAAAAAAAAGGAAAGTGCTAGAGCAGCTGGCAGCTGTCAACTTCCATCAGCGAATCAGCAACCTAAGACGAGATAAGTCGAAAGGACATGAGGATAGACAGAGTGTTCCTTTCACCTGCAGCAGATGGTTCTTACCCGTCCTGAGCCAGGCTTCCAAACTTCAACGCACACGCAGCAAAGCAGAAGAAGCAGCGGCGCCACAGGGGTAGCGAAGGCCAGCGATTTTCGCACCTAATGGCACTGATGGTCACAATTTTGCTGGATGGGACTAGATATAGATTAGATATTGAGCAGTGAGAGTCTGTGAGAATCACTTTGGCTTGTACAAACTGAATCTGGCTGCAGAACCCGACCCATCATTGCAATGCTCGGGACATTGCTCAAAACATCTGGCACTTGTGAAGGGTCATTTCCAGTTTCAGGGGTGGGCCGATTTGCAGCCTGCCTCCTTCCCATCAAAGAAGCACTGCAAAAAAAGGACCTCGCGCAAGTTGCCCACAGCCAGCTGTACATGCTGCATATAGGGCAATTCCCAAAAGCTTCCGGACGCCTGCATTGCGTCTGGACGGGGATGGCACAAGATGTATCAACATTTTCCAATATCCTGGAGCAGTGGATAGGGGGACTTAACGACTTTGTGCCGCTTGCCTTGGTCTGGTTTTGAAGATTGGATGGCGCACCATGGGACTAGTATTGGCTCCGGTCACTCTTTGCTAATCCGCATAAGTAGAAGAGGGTATCACACATCTTATTTCCTCACATACCCGCGCGGTCACCACCTTGCCTCATCATCTCTGGCCAGCAGGGCAGACAGTACGCTCCACAGCTGGCACATCTGCAGCAAAATGGGGGCCTGATCATCTCATGAAGGCAAGAGCCGCCCAGTGATCATCATCCCGACGGGAATTAAACACAAACACGAAACCACGAATGGTGGACGAAAAAGAAAACATGGAACTTGGCGCTTCACCAGCTGCTGCTGCCAGTCGCCCAAGGCCCCTGGGGCGAAGATGGCGCGTGTCAGCAACTTCAGCCGCCCCTCGAGCCACTGGGACGGGCTCCACGAGTAGACGAAGAACGCAGTGGCCACAAGGAAAGCAGCCAGCAAGGCACCAATGGACACCTGGGGTGGATGTGGAGGAGGGTGGAATAATACAAAGCAACAAGATCTGAGATACATTAAGATACAACATGGTTTATATGGCCCAATAAGGTAGCAAATCATATTAGCTTTTCTCATGAACTTCAGGTCAAATGATAACCTCTACAAGAAAGGCCCTGAAGCCCTGCTTTGCTGCTGAAGCACATAAGTCACAGCCTTTACCAGCCAGGAAGGCAAGCCGACCCCTGTGCATTCTACACACGAGCCGCTGGTCGCGTAGTACTTTTCCTTGCATTGCATGCACAACGGCCCGTGGTAACCTCAGGGTGCAAAGGGGCCAGCGGCAAAAGATTGCTCACAGAAAGTTCACATTCTGCGTTTCTTACTTCCGAGCCACCATAAATGGTTTTAATCCAAGCCATCCAAAGTGGTCAATCATCACCAAGGAAAAACACTTCAAGAATCAAAATAACTCTTCTACTGCTGCCTGGTCTCCTTTACCACAGTGGTCTTCGGCAAGCGTCCCACCTCTGCAACGCTCCAATGGTGGAAAACACTCCAAGCAGTGACCATCGAAAATAGCGTTTCCCGGCTCGCAATCGCAAGCCTCGTCCTTAGCAAAGTGACCACTTCAAAGGGGTGTCTCTGTCAACCCCCTGGCCCCTCACAAAAGCTAAATCCAACCGGGCATCGACTACTTTGCCACCTTTGTGTTTATGAAACGCCTTTTTGCATAGGCAGTTGTCCAGGGAGATGTAGCCAAGCTTGCCCCTGGTGCTCGTGTTGCTTGGGCATTGGGTGCAAGACCCAGCACCTTCCTTTGGCTTGAATGTGTTTTCGGGGCACTTGGTGCATTGTGCTCCTGTGCCGTTCCAGCCAGGAAGACACGCATAGCTTCTCTGGAAGAAAATCACAAGGCAAGACCTGGAGGGTGGTACTGTTTCGCTCCAAGTCGTAGCAGGTAAATCCATCCTTTTCACGACTGGTAAAGGTTTTCTCAGCTGTCCTGGCAAGCGCGAACACTAGGCAACCCCCAATTCTCTTCTGCAAGATTCCTGATACCCAAATGCATCGCATCATATCGCATCATATCGCATCCATCAAACACTGTCTGCAACTAGAATCAAGTAGATACAAAGCCCCCCCAGACAAGAAGGCCCATCCTGCTTATGAAGCCTTTCTTCAGCAATCCTTGCGCCTCCCTTCGCGTGGCCACATCCAACTTGCTCCCGCTGAGATCGATCGAGACTCCTTGCTTCAATGCCGAAGTCAATGTTCCCTCCGCCATTCGCAGCCGTTTCTGGTTGGAGGAAATAACAAATTTCCGCACGGAAGGTGGAATTGACTCGATGAGGGTCAGGTTGTTGCCTGATAACTCCAGAACCTCCAAGGAGCTTGCCAGTTTGCTCGGTTCACCCACGCGCACGGTGCCATTCATCCTGATAGGCCCTAGCGGATCTAAGTTGGGGAGCTCTCCGCAAAGCCCACAATTGACCGCAATGATACTACCCAAATGCTCACAATAAGCCAAAGGCCAAATCAACCATCGTAGTTCGCCGTTCAGTGGGCACTCAGACACCTGAAGGGTTTGACTCATATGTCACAGCCTTCAAGAAAATGGGGGTTCTAAAATCGTCACCTTAAAGGGTGTCAACCCTATTAACAAACCTTGAGTGCACTGAGCTAAATTTTCCGGTGCAGCACCGAAAGCCTGGACAGCCTCAAAATCACAATCACTTTCGCTGCCTTTTGCCTCAAGGGTCGTGAGAGCGGGCAGCAGGATATCCTGATCCCCATCCCTGAGATCCATCAAGTGGGTGAGGTCAGTGCCGCTGGGCAAGAACTGCGCACGGCTCCCCTGTGCGCGAGCGGGTCAAACGATCCCGGTTCTATCTATAGTAGGGGCTACTAAAGTACTAAAAGGATGTAAAAGGGCATTGAAACAATCCTTCCCTGGAATGATGCCACATCGAAGTGAGGAACACCAAGCAAATAATGAACATCTACAGCAAAGTGCTGCTTGGAAGAAATTAACAAGTTGGGATAGCATAGGGGTGTGACAACGAATGTTCCCCGCAATCCATTGCCGCTACCGCTACCGAGGTCCCGGCTGAAAGCTTGAGAATCCGCAAGTGTTTGCAGCAACCGCGCCAATGCTGAGTAAGTCTACCTGTTACATGCGTGCTTGAGAGGTCTACCACTGACGCTTTCTCCAGGAAGGTGATGCCATCAATGCTGCCAGCCACCTGCGTATCTTGAAGGTAGAGCTCCCTAAGAGCAGCTGCATGCTTCAGGACAAATATGTTGCCCTGCACGTTGGTGGCTGACAAGTCTATGACTTCGAATGCGTTGATGGACGAGCATACCAACACGCCAAGGTCGCCCCAAACTCCAGTGGCGGCCATTCTCAGCTTCTTCAGCAATTCTCGGTCTTTGAAGACCTGGATGTCACCAGTCACGTTGCTGAACGACAAATCCAGCGATGAAAGTTCAAACCATTGGCCAAACACCGCTATATCCCCTGTGACCAGGGTCGAAGACAGCCCCAGAACAAAAAGTCTTGTATGGTTTTCCAACACGCTGATGTCCCCGTGGATTTGAGTGTCAGAAAGGTCCAGCTCATGCAAGTCCACTGCGCTTTGCAACGCGGAGAGGTTTCCATGCACGGGCGAATTTCGTAGGTACAATTTCTTCAAGGTGGTGCGGTTCTTCAAGGCCCGGAGGTCGCCTGACACCTGGGTGTCAGAGATATGAAGGTGAAGCAGGCTGTTGGTTGCATTAAATATGCCAATGTCACCCTTCACCTTGGTCGATGCCAATCTCAACGAGATCAAACCAGGTAGATGTCTGAAAACTTGGACGTCTCCTTCCACCTGCGTTCTGTCAAGAGCCATTTTGGTCAGGAGCTTCGTGTGCTCCAAAACTTGAATGTCTCCAGAAACGTCGGTAAGACTCAGGTCGAGTTCTTCGAGATATTTGGCCCGTCGCAGGGCTGCAATGTCTCCAAGCGCGCTAGTGGCACCCAAACTCAGGCCTTGCAACTTCTGAGTCGCTTCCAAAGCCCCAATGTCTCCAAAGATCAAGGTGTTTTGAAGATCAAGGTGTGTCAAGTCTGGAAAGGCTTGGACTACGCGGATATTCCCACCAACACCAGTGTCTCGCAAGAGAATCTGCTTGAAGGGGCATACACGAAGATACTCAACGTCTCCATTGGCTTGGGTTGCTTGTAGGTTTAGGTACTCCAGGATCGGTGAATGCTGAAAAACCTTGATGTCCCCTGAAACTTTGCTGTGGGCAAGGTTCAAATGCCGCAACTTGACCATGTTCTTTCCATCCCCCTCCAACTTCCGTGAGCTGAATGCTCTGATGTCCCCTGAGACTTGTGTCTTGGAAAGGTCCAGGTGCTCCAAATGTTCCGCATTATGAAAAACACCAATGTCGCCCTTGACCCTAGAATTTGATAGGTCCACAGAAGAAAGATCTTTCAGAGAAGCCAGCGCGCGGATGTCACCCTCTATTTTCGTATCAGAGAAGTTGAGGTACTGAAGGTGCGCAAGGAAGAGAAAATTCAACGACTGCAAGGTTTCATGAGTCTCCTGCATGTCTCATCCCGCGTGAAGTATCATCGCTAAGCAGGGAACAAACCACAAACAAATGCTACAAACATCGCTAAAAATAACAAAATGCTGCAAACTTCAAAACTTCAATAGCAATTTAGACCTGAAAATTTACAGACGGAGTCTGTGAATCATGACATCACCCGCGATCTCTGGGCACGCAAGCATCTGCATGCAACAAGTTCCCCTCCTGGCCAGAGGCATCAATGCCTATGACCTCACAATGCAAGCCGCAGCGAATCCCTGGATATTTGCAATGGTCTCCTCACAGCCAAGTCAGTCGAAGGACGTTGAAGGATCACAGAAGAATCACAAGGAACCTAGCTCCCAGCATCTCCCAGCATCTCCCAGCAATTCACCGGACAAACTGACGAATTGTAGACTATTCCAGCTATAACTACTAGCATCATTTCTATTCAAACTGATTCTCGGATATCTGGACTGATAGATAAGTGGCAATCCTGCCTCCCTTCGCCGGCACGCGGATGCCCAACTTCTTACAGACAGATCGCGCTACTGCTTCTTGCAGCTTGCCTGGCTTTTATCAGTAGTGTTGCCGTTGCGTTTGGTGTCTGTAAGATGGCAGCCAAACAGGCGATATCCCAATAGAGGTTCAATGTTCGGGTCGAAAATCAGCAGCCGGGGAAGAAAATCAAAACATGTTCAACACATGTTCAAACATATATAGCTTATATCGATTTTGTGCATGAGATTGCGCTGTACTGGTGTTTTTTTTGTCGTAGCTGCCGCCATGTTCTTTACATATCCTTCTCTCCGCCCTACAATCTTTGCCAAGTCGTCCAATCGCAAGATTAATAATCCCCAAACCATCCAAAACCCGCCTCAACCCCACCCTGAGTTCGGTGTCCCGGCCCCCAAACCTGCAACATCTGCAACATGTTTTGTTGAATTTGTGGCCGAACTTTGAGCCTATTTGTTGGTGGATTTGAGCCACGTATCGCCACGTAACATCTTCAGTGCAGCTGAACTGCACTTGTCATCATCATCCTTATCACCGTCATTGCTGTTGGTGTTTTCGGAGGTGTCAAAGTCCCAATCCCAATCATCACCAGGTCCTGAGGCAAAGACTGCCCAGGCTCAGGTGATCTTCTTCGTACTTCAACATTCATTTTGTCAGTACCAACTGTGGGCCCCCACAGCAACCCCTAATCCTTTGTCCTGACCCAACCTTGCCATGCTCTTCAGCTTGGCTGCGATTGATTCGGTCCTCAGCCAACGTCGCTGCACACATCTGGGTCCTCAAGAAATTGGATTCTAGAAGTTTACCCTTCAGGACTAGGGCGCTGGAACCGCCACACAGCGCATCTATTGGCAATATGACACTATAAAAAAGGGATCATATCCATATTCACAAAACCTGAGAAGGGAGGAACGAAAGCCAGGGGAGTGCGAAGGTGGGTGCGAAGAAGTAGGAGAGGAAGAGGGAGGATGGGGGAAACAGAATAGATCGAGGAGAGGTCCCAGGAACGCACGAGCTTTTGTTTCGTTGCACCCTTTACCCAATTTTTCAATCGTTTTACCAATTTTAACGCGAATTCTCTATCAATTTATCCTTCCATTTCATCAATTTTTCCAGTGTTTTGGTGTTACTCGATTTTTCCATCATTACCCTTATGTTACCTCAGTGTGTCTAACGCGCACCCAAATGCACCTCCCACAATCCCTACCGTTGCACCGTATAACCGGTTTTGCTCGTTTCTTCCATGGTTTTATTTCTGTGCTTCTACTCCATAGTGGTCACACATCGAAACCGCAATTTTTCCATTGCTTTTCCATTGTTGCACGCGTGCTTTACGCGATAAAGGTCCCACATCGGAGCCTCAATTTTTCCATTGTGTTTCCATCCCATCAATTTCCATCATTTTACTTTTATTTTACTTGGCATCATTTTCGTCCCACAGCAGAGCCGCAATTTTTCCATTGTTTTTCCATTGTTTTACTCCACTTCTTCATCATAGTCCCTCGATTTTTCCATTGCTTTTCCATCGCTAATGGTCTCACATCGAAGCCACAGTTTTTCCATTGCTTTTCCATAGTTTTACTCGACATCATTTTCCCCTCCATTCCAGTTTCCCCAGTGTTTTTTTTCCTCCAGTTTTACTCAATCGTCCCATAGTTTACGCTATCAATTTATCCTTCCATTTCATCAATTTTTCCAGTGTTTTGCCATGGTGTTACTCGATTTCTCCATCATTACCCTTATGTTACCTCAGTGTGTCTAACGCTTACCCAAATGCACCTCCCACAATCCCTACGGTTGCACCGTATAACCGGTTTTGATCCTTTCTTCCATGGTTTTATTTCCGTGCTTCTACTCCATAGTGGTCACACATCGAAACCGCAAATTTTCCATTGCTTTTCCATTGTTTCACGCGTGCTTTACGCGATAATGGTCCCACATCGGAGCCTCAATTTTTCCATTGTTTTTCCATCCCATCAATTTCCATCAATTTACTTTTATTTTACTTGGCATCATTTTCGTCCCACAGCAGAGCCGCAATTTTTCCATTGTTTTTCCATTGTTTTACTCCACTTCTTCATCGTAGTCCCTCGATTTTTCCATTGCTTTTCCATCGCTAATGGTCTCACATCGAAGCCACAGTTTTTTCCGTTGCTTTTCCATAGTTTTACTCGACATCATTTTCCCCTCCATTCCAGTCTCCCCTGTGTTTTTTTCACAGCTTTTCCTCCAGTTTTACTCAATCGTCCCATAGTTTACGCGATGTCTCTATCAATTTATCCTTCCATTTCATCAATTTTTCCAGTGTTTTGCCATGGTGTTACTCGATTTCTCCATCATTACCCTTATATTATCTCAGTGTGTCTAACGCTTACCCAAATGCACCTCCCACAATCCCTACCGTTGCACCGTATAACCGGTTTTGATCGTTTCTTCCATGGTTTTATTTCCGTGCTTCTACTCCATAGTGGTCACACATCGAAACCGCAAATTTTCCATTGCTTTTCCATTGTTGCACGCGTGCTTTACGCGATAATGGTCCCACATCGGAGCCTCAATTTTTCCATTGTGTTTCCATCCCATCAATTTCCATCATTTTACTTTTATTTTACTTGGCATCATTTTGGTCCCACATCAGAGCCGCAATTTTTCCATTGTTTTTCCATTGTTTTACTCCACTTCTTCATCATAGTCCCTCGATTTTTCCATTGCTTTTCCATCGCTAATGGTCTCACATCGAAGCCACAGTTTTTCCATTGCTTTTCCACACAGTTTTTCCTCCAGTTTTACTCAATCGTCTCATAGTTTACGCTATCAATTTATCCTTCCATTTCATCAATTTTTCCAGTGTTTTGCCATGGTGTTACTCATCTCAGTGTGTCTAACGCTTACCCAAATGCACCTCCCACAATCCCTACCGTTGCACCGTATAAACGGTTTTGATCGTTTCTTCCATGGTTTTATTTCCGTGCTTCTACTCCATAGTGGTCACACATCGAAACCGCAATTTTTCCATTGCTTTTCCATTGTTTCACGTGTGCTTTACGCGATAATGGTCCCACATCAGAGCCTCAATTTTTCCATTGTGTTTCCATCCCATCAATTTCCGTGATTTTACTTTTATTTTACTTGGTATCATTTTCGTCCCACATCAGAGCCGCAATTTTTTCATTGTTTTTCCATTGTTTTACTCCACTTCTTCATCGTAGTCCCTCGATTTTTCCATTGCTTTTCCATCGCTAATGGTCTCACATCGAAGCCACAGTTTTTTCCATTGCTTTTCCATAGTTTTACTCGACATCATTTTCCCCTCCATTCCAGTCTCCCCTGTGTTTTTTTCACAGTTTTTCCTCCAGTTTTACTCAATCGTCCCATAGTTTACGCGATGTCTCTATCAATTTATCCTTCCATTTCATCAATTTTTCCAGTGTTTTGCCATGGTGTTACTCGATTTCTCCATCATTACCCTTATGTTACCTCAGTGTGTCTAACGCTTACCCAAATACACCTCCCACAATCCCTACCGTTGCACCGTATAAATGGTTTTGCTCGTTTCTTCCATGGTTTTATTTCCGTGCTTCTACTCCATAGTGGTCATACATCGAAACCGCAAATTTTCCATTGCTTTTCCATTGTTTCACGCGTGCTTTACGCGATAATGGTCGCAGATCGGAGCCTCAATTTTTCCATTGTTTTTCCATCCTTTTACTTTTATTTTACTTGGCAGCATTGTCCAAGCGTTCTACTCAAATTTTCCATTGTTTTCCCATTGCTTTATGTGATATTCCCTCATTTTTTCCAGTCTCCTCAAGTCCAGATCGGAGGACGGACCAGGGGGGAATCGATACCCCACCGTCACCCAATTGCCACCTGGTACATAACCCTGAAAAAGTTCACCTGCATCCGCCTTTTTTACCACCTAATTTCGTGATTTAGTGGCCGTTAGGAACGCTCTGCCCCCAAACCCCCTAAATTCACTTTGTTCGCAAAAAAAAACTTCGCCTAGCCTAGCGGCTGGCTTTCGTGAAAATGGAAACATCAAATGCTTGTTTCATATTATGCCTACATGTCGGGTAACTCCCCATTGAAAGAACCAACCAAGGATCATCATCAACTGTGCTTAGCACCTTCAAAAGATCCCTGGATGGGCGGGACCCAAGGATAATATGCACTTGGCATGCCCAGCAAATCCACAATAAGGCCGTGGAAACCGGCCCCGGTTTCATGCCATGGAAATATGATGGATTTGGAGGATTTGGCAGTTGAACTCGAACTGCTTATCTACTTTTGCATGGATTGCTCCATGCTTGAGCCAAAGGGGGCACCAAGTTGGGTTAATTGATTTTGGCTCGGACACTAGAACAGCGTCAGCAATCTGTAATGGCGCAAAGCAAGTAAGAATATATTAGAGGATCATATGAGTCAAAACAGAATCAGCTGCGTGCACAAACATCAGTTTTGCTTGGGAGTCTTATAGGCTTTCAGTGGCAATCTGCGCGAAGAACTGGCTGCTGACGGTGACAGCAGTGAGCTCCAAACATAATCCTACCATATCCTACCTACATCTTTCTGCAATCTCAGCAATGGAGATTCATGAATTGATTCATACTGGTCAGGCTTGACCAGCTTGCTCTCGCAGTCTTGACGGCGTCCGATCATATCTGCTGTGTTTTCATTTCGCGAAGTTAGTGCTTGTCTTTTGAACCGCTGGATATCCCTGGATGACGGAATGCGTGTTCGGCGCGTTTCAGGTTCCGAACCTCCTGCAAGTACCAGGTAGTTGGTTTGGAGCAAACTCGTCTGCCTCCGGGGTCAGGTCATTGTGTCATTATTGTAGTCAGAATGGTACAAGGAGAAATTACTGTAAGTAGTTGGCCTGGGGTGCGGCCCCCTAAGCTACTAAGGGCGGGGGGGAGTTGGGGGAATGGACCAGACCATTTCAACACCTTGCATGGAAGTCTCAACGTCAACTCTTGCAATTAATTTCGTGCCAAAGTCCCAAAGTGCTCAGGATGCTTGGATGCTTGTGCTGAAGAGTTGCCCATCCTTCACACCAAGTCGGATCTCCCTGTGTTGCTGGCTTTGTGAATGATAATCTTCGGGTGGAGATTTTGTGCAGGATGTTGGCATGACCAAGTCTAGCAAAGTGAAGGGGGGTATTCAAATTCAACACCACTGCAGTACAACTGCAGGTCTAAGTTCTGGGAAATCTAGGATTTGTGAAGTTGCATGGCTACACAAACCGACAAATTTTGCAAGGTGGGCAGCCCACCATTGCCTTGTAATGCTGCTCATGAGGAGAAACGACTTTGAAGTCTCTATTTTTCGGTCTGTGAAGGCAATGCCTGGAGGAATTCCCTCGCGCGGTCCAACCACACTTGCCTCATGACCCTGTGGCTCTTGTGCAGGTGAGTCATAAGTCGGTACTTCAGCAAGCGCGCAGCGCAACACCTTCCTCTTTTCTGGGACGAAATTGTAGGTTTTGGTCAGTCGCGTTCCAAGCTGAAATGGATTTCCTGGGATTGTCTGCGCGTCAGCATGGAGGCGGTGGCAGACTCTTTGGGCACACCATCTTTCACCAAGTCCTGCCAGTGGATCGATCCCAAGACCCTCGTGATATGGAACCGCATTTGCAAGGTCAAACAGAAAAAGCTTAGGAACCCATGAAGCAGCAATCTTGGAGGTCATTCACCTCTGAAAATGGCCCGGCTGGCACTGGTGGACATCAAAATTCTCCTGCGGAGCTGTGTGTTTTTGAAGGCATGTGCCGTGCCCCCCCAGGGGGTGTGAAGGTGTTGACTGAAGGCATGGAGGTTTCAGCCATGCCATGGAGAATCACTGAGATAACTTGGGACATGGCCGTGCTCGTGTGGCATACCTAGAGATTGCGTTCATGGTGAATCCCTGCGATCCTTCTTAGTCATTGCCATAGCTATGGTGAATCATGGGTATGGCGAATCACTACGATCACCAGTGCTAACTTTGAGATAACTTGCTTATAATTTACAAAATCGGGGCGCATTGGGATAATCAGAATAATCAGGAGTACAGCTTGAGAGAATCTAAGGTGAAAACGGAATAAAGATTGGATAGTCATGGTAAGTATTGGATAATGTCATGGATAATTCTTTGTGGACGGTGACACGGTGACGCGGTCATGTTATGATGATTGATTTCTTTGTCTTTGTGGTTAGATGTGGTTCATACTCAATCACTGACATAACCATGGTGAAGCGTCCATTCAATCATGAATTAACGTAACAAGCACTCGCAGGCAATCACTAACCCAATTATGTGAAGCACTGGTCATGGTTTCTGAATGGGCAATCACAATAATCATTCTGGTGAATCATTGATTTGATCATGATCAACAATGGATACATAATCATGGTGAAACAATGATATCGGCATTCTCAATAATTAATGGACAATCGTAGTGGGCCATTGGTATGACGAAGGGTAGCTAAGTCGGGATGGGGATTCACAGCCATTCTGAGTGCCTAAGCCAACCTGCCCTGAGAATGAAGGACACAACGATCAATGAAATCAATCATGTAAAGGACAATCTCAGCCAGCCATCAATCAACCAGTAAAAATATCAAACGGCGACTAGACATTACTAGACACTACCAAACTTTGAAGGTGCGGCCACATCATCTCAGGGTTGGCATTGGCATCAATTCTTTGAAACACATGTTCACCAAAATTCCATGTGTATATAATTGTATATATATATATGTATATTATATATGTATATATCTATTATATGTATATATATAATTATATATATATAAATATAATTTATATAATTATATATATATATATAATTATATATATATACATATATATCCGAGACTCCCCCTTTCATGGTGCCAATGGCAGTAGAAATCGTTTTTTTTTTTCCTTCTCGTCCAGAAAATCGAAGGGTATTAGATGGTATTAGTATGATTCCAAGATTTTCAATGTGCTCGCAAACGTTACAAAACCATCTGAAACGGCCCCAGGCCCATTCCGGGCCCATTCCTTTGTGTCCAGCCGTTTCTAGTTCGGTGGTGTTCCATGTGTCCTAGTTGTTTGGAGTCCGCGGTTGCAAAAAACATGGTATCCCCATAAAATGCTTAAGCTAAGGTGAACCAGAGCCAGCTTGGTTTACCATTGATTCTGATGAAACTAAAACCAAAAAAGAGATCATCGATGAAAACCACGGTGTGAACCGGCTAGGGCCCAACGTACAACAGTGAATGCATGAGTTTCGAACTGCCGCTGTCTGTTGCGGTGCGAACAGCAGATCCCACCCCGGATTCCACAACTGCATTTTTGACGGAGTGAACATGGATGTTTTTTTGGTCTTGATTGTGGTTCTGGTGAGACGCCATGAAGTCATAAAACTCTCCAACGTGGTGCTCTTGGAATTAGTAGCCACGCCTATCCAAGTAGGCTACCTCGGCAGTCTGGGATGCTCCAAGGCCGCCATTTTCGCGGGCCTTTCTAACAGAAGTCTCGTTTGAGAGCTCCTGCCAGGGCAACTTCCCACGTCCAACCCTGCCTTCAAAGTAGAACACATGCAAAGCTTGGCTACGGGCCACCGCTGCGTCTACGTTGCGTTTCCAATCGTGGAACCAACGGCAGCCCCAAGGCGCACGGCCACAGTTCTCTTCACACTTCCTCTTCGCAGCCGTCTCTGCCACCTGCTTGTCGTCGTCCCACTGCTTGTCAGTCTGAGCTCCTCTTGCGAGGAAGACTTGGCCCATGGCCGCAGCATCACTCTCTGTGAACCGAAGCCTTTCTGCACTCATGGCCTCTGGATCTTCCACTATGTTGATGTACGCGGCTGCTGATACGTGGCCATACAGTGCTTTGCACCAGCACTGGCCTGGTTCCTCAGGGTTCTCCTCATGCACCCCCCAAACCAGAGGCCTTGTCGGTTAAAAACACGCAAGCCAGGCTACATGCTGTAGAACGTATTTCCACCATCCGCACTGCAGCGTCCCACTCCTCAGTCATGACTGCAACCTGCCTTCAACTATTCACAACGTCAACCCATGACAATACTACCATAGACGAACACACGTACCTTAAACTCTCAAATAGCCTTAAAATGTCTTAAATATTTCTCGGCCGTTTTTTTTGATTATAGGAACGTCGAAGAAATCTGAAGCCGAAAACAAGGGCCACTTTGACCTATGCCAGAAGGAACTGGTGCAAGAGGTTGATCCTCTCGGTGAATAAATGCGTCTGTCTTGGTCTAGGGAACCCCCAGATGGATCCAGATGGTACTTCAGCAAATGAACTGAGACTTTGGGTGCCCACAACTGCACACATCTTGAGACTCACGATTTCAATCAATTTCTCACGGGCCTGACCTCATGTCGTCAATCTTTTCCCAGGAGCAATGAAAAAGTTGTCTACAGTACAAAACCTTTCCCCATGCGGCCAAGATCTGTACCGTTGTTGAGCTACATGAAGCGTATTACAAATGGACCGACTAGCTCAAACAGCACACGCACGCACAGCATGAGGAAATTTATGGAACGTTTGAACGATATGGTAGTCGACGCCTTGAGGTCTCACAAACCTTGGAAAGCATCCTGAACGCAGTCTCAGGTAAACAAGTGACCACTACCACAGGGTCTCACAAACCTTGGAAAACATCCTGAGTGAAGTCTCAGGTAAACAACTAACCACTACGGAAGGGGTTCTAGGCTTAGCCCCACGCCATTCCCGAAAAATCAAAAGGCAGGTACGTCACGGTGATCAGCCGTGATATCAGCCTGTACTGTGGCCGCTTTGTGGACCATCGCTCACAGTGCATGGATGGTCCCCCTGCATGTTAAGAGCTTTTGAACTGCATGTGACTAGCAGCTTACACACACACACTCACACACACTATCATGCACTTCTATAATCTTCTATATACTATATACAATACACAGAATCCCCACGCGGACCTTTAGATCGACTCCCATATAGATTAATATACGTACGCACGTGCATATGGGTAATTATCATTATATAATTTAATTATGTGTATTTCTTCAAAATGGGGCAACTCCAAAATGACAATTTCCAACGGCAATAGAAACAATAATTGTCTACAAATCATTGACTTTTGGGGCTCCACCCTTTTCCACCTTGTGCCTTCCCAACGCTGCCAACCTGCCAATTCAAATTGTACACCGCACAACCCCGAGCTAAACCAAGTTTCTTCAGCGTACTTGCCAGGGAAACTCACAATGCAGTGTTGTGAGTGGCTGTTCAGCTTGCCTGGGAAGGCAATCCGCTTCCCTTGTGTCCTGCCCATGTACTGCAACTCTGCCAGTACTTCTTCTTGATCCAACGTGTCCCTCGGTCCAACGAGGCCACTAAGAATGAGGATAGATGCGAGCACCACACAGTTGTCAACCGTCAGAAACAGGGATGGGATCAAACGGATCTTATCGCCAAAGGTGTCCACCAAAGAAATGTAAACCACATCCAAAAGGGTGAGGAACGCGCCCAAGCGCAAAAAAAAACACCTCTGGAGGCAGTTCTGACCAACTTCTTGTTCACCTTCTTGTTCAACAGCCTCTGCTTCACGTGAGCTTCGTACAACAGGACGGCGGCATTCACTGCTGCAATGAGCCCCCTGCTGGTGAAGACCAGAACGGCGGCCCAGGTACTCACCGCCTCCTGCGTTCTCATCAACCAATACATTCTCATCCACAACACCCAAGCCAACAAGCAGGCAAGGCCCGTGTGGCGCCACCCCAGTAAAAACATCTTGCCCGCGGTTACCCCAGCCAGGCCGCCCCGGCTGAACCTGAGAATTATGGGCAATGGAAGGATTCCAGTGTCGTATGCGGAACTCCTCTGGGCTTCTTCCTCGGTCTTCGCAAGGAATGCAAGCAGCTCTAGGCCAGATGACAATAATGCAGTCCCGAAGCATCCCAGATGGCAATAAAAGTGCAGAACATCGCACTTGCAGCGGAAAAAGAATGGCACAAGGCTCAAAGCTCCAACCAGAGGCCGAAAGAAACCATCGAACACTTGCAACGGGATGGGCCAGCTATCCCCGTAAAAGATCTTTCGCTCAGGGATTTCTGGGCTCAGGATCAGGACAGTGTTCACAGTGACTCGCGCTGCTGTGAAAGCGATGAGGAGCAAACCTAACAGCAACGATAAAGCCTTCACTCTGTCCATGCTTTGGACCAGTTGATCCACTAACGACCGGCTAAACTGGAGAACCAAGTTGATGCTACTTGGTGACAATGCAAGAGTGATGTATTGCCAGACTTCACATTATCATTACATTTGGAACAGTTGAAAAAACTTCGGAGTTGGGGGAATGTTGTTCCGTTGATGTGAGTTATATTGATGTCATGGAAGGTGAGTTATATTGTCAAGTATTATCTAAGAGTTTAGGTCCATTTGCATATGGGTAGGAAATTGTTTGGGGATTTTTTTTTTTAGTTTGGGGATTTTTTTTTTGATTTCCGGTTCTCACCATTTTCCATGCTATTTGCAGCATTTTGGAGCTGGAAACTGCCATTTCCACGGTATGTGCAACGGTTTTGAGTTCGAACCTCTCATTTTCCATTGTATTTTCCACGGTATTTGCAACAGTTTGCAGCATGTTCTGTCCATTTTCCATGCTCTTTGCAGCATTTTTGAGCTGGAATCTGCATTTCCACCGTATGTGCAACATTTTACAGCTACATTCCTCACAGTACTTGCAGGATTTTGGAGCTGAAGGCTGACATTCCAACAGTTGTTTGTTGTTACTGTTACTGTTGTTGGTGTTGGTGTTGTTGTTGTTGTTGTTGTTGGTGTTGTTGTTGTTGTTGTTACCGTTAGTGTTGTTAGTGTTGTTAGTGTTGCTAGTGTTAGTGTTGTTAGTGTTGTTAGTGTTGCTATATATATATATATATATATATATATATATATATATATATACATATATATATATATACATATATATACAATATATATATACAATATATATATATACATATATATATATACAATGTATATATATATATATATTCTAACCAAAGTAGTGTATTGAAATGTGTGCAAGCTTGAATTTAAATAAAAAAAAGCGGGAGGGGGGGATTGGGGGGGAGGGCTGAAGAGGGGCCCTAGCGTCTACTTCAAGATCAGCTAAGGCGTCTTCCCCAATGACAGCACTCTTTTACTCTCAGCCTGTTGCCGGTCAGTGCTTGTCTACAGGGTTACTCTATATATATACCTCTTGAGCCTTGAAGGGGCGCATATAAATGTGCTCAATACTCATGCATGTACCTATGTAGGTATTAGGTCGAAACAAAAACACAGGCACAAATTCAAAAGCAATGAGTAGAGCACTACGCCTTGCCGTACCCAATTGGTATTAAGAGTATCTTCCTGACTTCTCTACACAATGGCAAATAGCAAAATAAACCGGAGTTACGCAGTGGCTTCGAATTGAAAAACACGTGAAAGCAGCGAATGTCCTAAGGACATGTCGAAAAAGAACAGCGGATTCGCTAATTTTTCCAGTGGTGACCAATGGTGCTTCGCGCACGGTCTCTCCACAGGCAAAATGCCTCGCTCTACCGGTGAAAGTTCGAATTGAAAAGTTCGGGTTCGCAAGATTCAGAAATTCAGGTCATACAAAAACAATTGACCAAATCACGAAATAAACGGAAATAGCGGATCTCCAAAGTTGCTCATTCAAGCAAACAATGGACTGAAATCGAAGTTGGTAATTTTTGAAGTTCGCTCCATTCGGAGTGGTCTGCTCGCCGGATGATTCATGGAGATAAATGTATATAGTATCTCTATTTACAAGAGTCTCTATTTTACATTAAATTGAAGTTCAGACACTTGTGGCATTATCTCTATCTACAAGAGTATATGCCATCTGTGTGAAATAAGTTGAACGCACAGAAAAACTGTACACGGCTTCTCATGCTGTGTTATCTTCAATTAAAGAAGTGTACACTCACTCATCGCCACTCACTTGATCTCCATGGTCTGGACGCTGAAGATGAGGATCCACCCCCCTCTGTGTTGCCCTGATACGTCGATGCTTGATCTTCATATGCCTTTCTCTTTTTCTCCTTCTGTCTTTCCTTTCTTGAATCAGCATACTGCTTCTTCTTGTAGGCCTGTTTGTAATGATGTCGTTCATTCCATGACCTATCAGAAGGATCAAGATGGATAAGAAATGGATTATGAGCATCGCGATCATTTGGAGCAACCATGAAGATGTTGTGATCACCATGTAAGCAAGTTTCATTTACCTTGAAGTAAAATTCACCCACATAGTTCATGTGATCTTCATCCTCAAAGTCTTCTGGGTGTTCCTCACACATCAAACGTGAATGACCCCACTCAACAACTGTTAACATACAACAATCACCTTTACCATTTGTCTTGTTCATGAGCTCGTCGGTGTATGTTGCTATTGTAATGCCATCCAAGTGCGTTGCAAGAAAATCCAAGTCACGATAACTGCAAGAAATAAAATGCTTGACCCTGATTGGAGGGCAAGTTGGATCAAAATTCTTGCGCATGGCTTGTGTTGCAACACCTACCATTCTGTTAATCCAGAATTGGATAAGGCTGTGTTGATATGTAGGGACACCTGGAGATTTTTGTGTGCTGTAATAGCATGCCTTGTTTCCATCACCTGCGATGAAGTCAACTTGATATCTGGCACACTCAAAAGCCATAACAGCTAAGCACTCACCAACAATTCCAGCAGAGTCTGATGCATACTTCTGTCCGACGTGATAAACGCACACACGTGTCATTCTCATCCTAGCTCTTGTCAAGTCAACAATCTCATCTGTATCTCGATCCTTTGTCTTTCCCCAAGATACTTCAAAGATTGCCCATGAGACTTGTCGAACTCGTGTGTCGTTGTCATCTGTGTGATATCCAGCAATTTGCTTGATATAGCCATCCTTTCCAAGGCGAGCTGCCACCATCAAGTCATGATAGTCATTGAAGCAAGTTTTAAAGTCAACCTCGTCGAGTCTTTCTCTGTGAGGATACAATGAACCAGCCTCGCAATTCATGAAAAGATGTCCTCCAAAGTTCTTGATGACATTGATGAAGTAATTGTTGAACTGTGATTTGGTTTCATCAAATTTTTCATGATCCTCATCGATAGTGTAGTCAATGTGTGGAATGAATTGTTGAAATCTTTCTGGAACCGGGCATTTTTCAAATCTGTTTCTGCACCAGTTTCCCAAATTCCAAAACATTGCTGTTATCTGTGGAGAGAATCTGTATGGAAATTCAGCATCCTTGTACGTTGGGTCTGATAGGCCTCCACCTAAATACCTGTAAGCCAAGCTATGCAAGATCATACAGTAAGGCAAGACCTTGTGGTCCTCAACGTAATCTTGGAGTACCCTTGTGAGATTTCCAAAATCGTCATCAATCCTCTTTTCTGCTTCTTTTGAGGATCTTTCTGCTTTGTCTTGATGAAGAGGATGCATCCTTGGATCACTACAACCATATTCAATGCGCTGATTAAGTTCTTGTAATTCTAGTTGTGGATCCTGATTCTTGTGTCTGGCAATGTACTCAACCATCAACTGGTCATCTGTAAGATGGTACCAAAAATCATGATGTGGAGACATGGTCTTCCTGTACTTAACATGCCAAAACATATGTCGATGCTTCGAAGACGCTGGATAACCTTTGTTGTAAAATCCTGCCCATTCACCATGGTAACCATCTGAAAAACAATCCTTCAATCTTCGAAAAACTGAATCATCTTCGTTTCCAGTGATATCTTGACCATAGTAAAGTCGAACTGCAGGTTTCACTTCAGGAGCTGCCTCATCATCTTGAATGTCTGTCTTCTTCTCCCCTGATTCCTCCTTTTCTGAGGAGCGTTCAGGTGGAGCTGATTCCTCTTTCTCTGAAGAGCCTTCAGCTGGGACATGTGGCTCCTGTGTGTCTTTTTCTTCTTCTTTTTCTTCGTCAGCAATCTTCTCTTCTTCATCCTTTTCTTTCTCTTGTCCTTCTTCTGGTTTGACAAAACTTTCCTTGATCTTTCGTTGAACATTCTGATTGCACATACTGATCCATTTCAATGTACACTCAACCAATTTGTCATCATCAGTTTCCAAAATGATATGTTTGTCCTCAATGTTCAAACTTTCAATGGTATGCTTGTACTCAGGATCACCTGCGCCTGGTCTTTGAAGATCTGGAAGTGGAGTGTCTGGATCATCGTCCACCATATGAGGATCCTCTGCTCCAAAGAAATTTTCTGCGCCAAGGTGTTCATTGTCCTTGAGAACTTGGTCAATATCCAGTTTGAACTCATAGTACTTGTCGTAAGAGATCTCATAACCCATCATAGGTGCATACTGCTCCATAAATGTTGAAAAGGAAGCATCTGATAATGCTGACATCATCAACCATAATGAGAAGAAGCTTATGTCACCACGTTCAAGGCGCTGACCTCCTTCAAGATCATCTTCTGTGAGGATTGATTGGCCTGCAAGTGTAATATCCTGTAGGATCCTCCTGTGCTCTGGTTTGAGTTGCCTGACTAAAAACAGTCCCTGTCGATCTTCCATATTTCTTCGAGGATTTGCATCAGGTAATACCTCACTTTCTTGTTGTGGTTGTGTTTCCTCTCTTTCTTGAGAGCATACACCTTCTTCCTCTCTTTCCTGAGAGCCTGATGCCTTTTCCTCCTCTTTCCTGACAAAAACTTGTAGTCTTGGCAAAAACTCCAAATCATCTTCAGCATCATCATCATCGTGACCTTCCATGTCCACATTCTGTTGCTCTGATCCTGGGATGTGAGCGATCTTGTCCTTTCCAGCTAACCAGATGTAGCCATCGAGCTTTGTAGATGTGTGGAAGTCACCTGAACCGCATTCCCTGACCTTTGTCCTTGCTCTTGCAGATTGATGGAATGCTTCATGCTGAAAG